TAATATAGTTGGTGATTTATGAAGAAACATGGCCACGAACTAGAAGACCTGAGTGCATGTGGGCCTGTTTTCTCATCTGTGCAAGGAAGGTTGGGGTAAGACAGGCCCAAGACTCCTTTTCATTCTTTCCAACTTCTGTGGTATAGAGACTACACGCCAGGTTAGGAGCCCAGTGCCCTGAGGTCTAGTCCTGATTCTAACTTTTACTCTTGCTGTAAAGTAAACAAAAGATGTGATGGAACCTTTAGAGCTCCTTTGAATTCTGATGTTATTTATGACCTAAGTCATACTTAAGCCTCAGCACATATAAATGACAGGAGAAATTGTCAGAAGGATAATTCCAGTTAAAATCCTTGAAATTTTTTTTCCTATGAAAATTTTCCAAAAAACACAGGGTTTATCCCTTATATAACCACTTATACTTATAACTAAAACTGTTGTCTCCACATGAACAGTTTGAATAAACCCTAACATTTGTATTATCCAGAATATAGGGGAGGAAAAAAATGCAACACCAGACTCTAGATGCGGGTTATTATATTTTGAAAAAATGAAGTAAAGAAGCCTTCCAAGTTTGAGAAAGAACAGCTTCCTCTGAGTAATACATAGAAACATTTAGAAAAAAGCCAAACTGCTTCCCTCTACAAAGTAGACCTACAATATAATCAGCAACCTTTTACTTCCATCAGTTTGTGCTGGACTCCGCAGTCCCTGGTCACACGGTGCAAAGGGCACATTAGCTTAGACAAGGTGAGCACAGCGTAATCCCCAGCCTTGAAACAAATGCTAAGAGTTATTTAAGAAAGAGCAAGGCAATGCTGAAGAATGTGTTTTTCTACCACAAGGGAAACAGGAAATGCCACATAAATCAACATAAATCATTCATTGATTTAGCAATGATCTGGCCTAGTGAAAATTCACCAAGTTACAAGGATTAAAAACAAAAATCGTAATTTCCTTACATTTAATTAGCCATTTATTCTACCAGGCATTTTCATTGCATACTTGTTAAAACACTGGAAAGGGGTTGATAGGAGCATCATTAGCCCACTTTGTAGATGAAATGGAAGAGATTATGTACCTTGCTTACAAAGACCAAATCACACAGATAATAAATACTATTTAAAATCATTATGTAATGGATTTTCCAAGAAAAACATGCAAATCATTCTAAAGTTGTTAGGGCTGTATGTATGTGTGTGTGTATGTATGTGTGAAGACATACATACTACTATTAGTACTAGTATTATAGTACTATACTACTACTATATACTATTCTCTACTATTTCCAAGGAGAGAAGAAGAGAAATAAATCATGGATTACTCGGGGAAAACCAGAGCAATAGGTTTGGGAGAAGAAATCTTTGAGTTTGATTCTTCACTGACTTCTCAAAAACAAGAACTCTATTCAATGTGAAGATCATCTAGAATGTTGATTGAGTGTTCCCCACCTAAAGGCACAGACCCTGTGTGGAGAACATCACAGGAAGCCATAATCCCTCCCCAGTTTATTGCCTAGTTGGGGAACAAATTATGAGGATTAATGCAGATTAAATTCTGTTCTCTATGAGGCCTGGGGAAAAAAATGCCAGCTTTTAGTCCCTAGGGGGTGGAAAGTAATAGAGTAGAAATTTTATGTAGGTCACATCCAATCTCATGAGCATGTCCTTAAAAAATCTATCAGCTCTAGTTCAACATATGTCCCTAATCCTGTCATTCTCTCCATCTCTACTATTACCATTCTAGACTAGTGGTCTAAAGGATGGGAATAGGACCACTGATGTTTCATGACTTTCATGTGGCCAATTTCAGAGAAGGGAATATCAAAGACACCTTACTTTCCTGACTATTGAAAAATTTGGAACGCTGTCCTGTGGTCCCATGCCTCCCTTGGTATCACAAAAGTTTTATCTACAACAGGCTTATGAAGGAGTTCATACAATATAACTATAATTCAATCTTGTCCACATGACTATTCTTCAAGTACAAAGCTTAAAATATACCAGATTAGATACCAGCATGAGTCCAGATGGAAAAATTGAGAGATCAGCATGGTCTCTGTGTAAGCATGTGATAAAATCTCTACAAACAGTCATGCTTTTCAACTGGATGTGAGCTCTCTCCTCTGAATCCCCATAACCTTTCCTGTATCTCTCTGATAATATTTTTGCATTTTCTTTCCCTGCCTAATGAACTGTAAGCTCCTGTGGGTGTATGGAGCATGCATGATCATGTGTCTTACTCAACTCAGGCACCTGGAAAGAATGAGGCCTATGGAGTCTGACAGACCTGTCCCAGAAAGCTGGCTCTATTAACTGTGGGACTTTGAGACCTTAATTAACCACTCTAAGCCTCAATTCCAACAGCATTACAGTTATTGTAAAGATCAAATGAGATAATACATGTAAATTGCTCAGCCAACACCTTGCCCCTAATAATTTATGCAATAAGTGATAGCTCTGTGTCTTAGGTTGGGCTCTCTAGAGGTAAAATCTGAGATGAGGATTTAGGTGCCTATGATTTAATTGAAGGAGAAGTGTCAGGAATAAAAGAATGAGGGAAGTAAGATAGGGCAGCAGGAAGAGTTAAGTTGAAATCTAGCTTCAGCAAGGTCCCATGGGGTGCTCTGGAGCATAAACTGCACCAGAGTTGGATCCACATTGGAATGGATCCAGCCCTTTGTACCCTCTCCCCGTCGAAGCCCTCCATGTCAGTCAATCATTGGCTATAGGCTGCCCCCTGGGGAGTGGGGAGGAAGACATTCCTTCCATGTCCAGGCAGCTCCCATTTGGCTGAGGACAATTCTCTGGAGAAAACGGCAGCCATGAGCTAATTAGCAGCCAATATTCACAGCAACCATGTAAGGGCGATTTGGGCAGGGCACCAACAGCACTACTACATTATTATTATTGTATTTGTATCATCTCATGTCTAGATCTGAGCTTTTGATATGACAGTGATTCAATAAATAGTTATCACGTTGAATTAAAGGATCCAAATTATAGATAGTATGCAAAACCAGCATGAGGAGCTCAAGTCTCATCCACAGGTCTAAGAGCTTTGGAGGCAGCTCTCCCATTTCTTCCCTTCATTAACCCTCTTAATTAATTACCAAGGCTACACAAGGTTATAGCATGTCCCAAAATTCTTTGCCACACTGATGTCTGAAGCTGACTTAACTGTGATTTTCCTTGCTTCCCTTGTTTCAGAGATTTTTCTGACGTTAATTACACCTACACTTACATCCAAATATTTCATTGTGATGCAGATTATACTTGTAAGTGCATGAATTATTCTGAGGGCAAAAGAAATTAATAATGTTTCACCACTCACTGTGACATGTTTCCAAGCACGTAAGTGACAGATGCACTTCTAAATGATGTACTTTTCTTCTCTTTGACATGCAGGACCCAGATTTAAAGAGATAGAAGATGTAAAGGCACCTCCTTCTGGATCTACTGATGTCAAGCTTGGACCTCCATCTCTATCAGCAAACAGATGAATAAGTAATGTGCTCAGGTCCCAGTATCTGCTCAGATTAGATTGTATCAGCAGCCTTACACTCTGAAACACCATTAAAACAAATCCCCAAGCACCCAAGTAAGGGAGGGGAGGAGAGAGCTGGGCTGGTCATCAGTAGGAGTGGGAGGAAAGTATTTTGTAAACTGTAAGATGCTTCATAAAAGTTAATTATTAGTATTAATATTAATTCTTCTACCTTCAACCTATGTTCAATGCTGTCCAGATCCCCTGACCCCACATCCCCTTCTGAATTAATCAGCCCCTTCCAGAGATTTTGTTTCTGTTCTAGTAACTGGGGTCATACAAAAAGGAGCCCAAGCAGACTGAGTGACCAGCTCTTTTCTTGAAGTTTCATCTAATACTCAGTCTATTGGTAGGGACAACTTGAATTCAGAAAACAAGTCCAAGCAGGTGTTAGGAGAGCCTTAATAGTAGCCTCATCATATGGAAAGGAAACAGAGATTATGGACACCATAATCACTATAATGCCGTCAAGAAAGTGAATGTCTGACAACAAGTTGCTGAGGTTGGAAAGATTCATGTTGTGAAACAAGAGGATCTGTTGCCGTAATTCACCAGATTTTATTTTAGTTCTACCAGAACGATGAAGTATTTGAAAAAGGAGGAAAAAGAAAAAAAACAATACCCACTATTTGGTATGGGTAATCCACAAAATAATTAAGCCCTCACATGTAAATTCACAGTAAAGAAAAAAATGACACTTTAATTGTAGAAGGGCAAATAGTTGAGCTCTAGAGTAGAGGCTGGCAAACCATGGACCAAATTTGGCCCTTTGTTTTTATAGATAAAGTTTTATTGGAACACAGCCATGCCTATACATTTAGGTATTCTCTAGGACAGCTTTTTTTTTTTTTTTTTTGCGGTGCGCGGGCCTCTCACTGTTGTGGCCTCTCCCGTTGCAGAGTACAGGCTCCGGATGCGCAGGCTCAGCGGCCATGGCTCACGGGCCCAGCCGCTTTGCAGCATGCGGGATCCTCCCGGACCGGGGCACGAACCTGCGTCCCCTGCATCGGCAGGCGGACTCCCAACCACTGTGCCACCAGGGAAGCCCTCTAGGACAGCTTTTAAACTACAGTGCCGTAGTTGATAGATGAGACAGAGACTATCTTGGCCCACAAGTTTCTACAGTCAAACTGCTTAGGATTAAATACTGGCTCTATCACTTATTAGTTGTTACTTGAGAAAGTTCTTCAATATCATTATCATAAGGAAATTAACACTACTTACCTCATAGGGTTGATGTGAAGATTGAATGAGTTAAAATATTGAAAGCACATAGAACAATCTCTAGAATATATCAATGAATCAATAACTGTTAGTTATTATTATTACAAACACCAAGATCAAACCTCCTCCGTCTCCTCATATGTCATCGGCTCTTCTGCCAACAGGACCACCTAGACATGTTTCTGCCCTTTCCCACACATAAATAGGAATACCTTTCAGACATAACTTACTGTGAATGCAGACAGATCACTTTCTAGGTATTCCCAGCAGCCATGCAGAGGGGAAACCGTTTTTCTTTTTCCTTTTTTTCACTTTATTCCTAGAAGAAGACTTCAGTCACATGCTCATGTAGAGAGTTTAAACCTCCTTTCTCTGTATCCTACTAAAATATTCAATGGCCAGCCTAACAACTCCGATAAAATAACAGGTTTGTCTTCCCAACTAATAGTGTTTTCTCACCTCTAAAATCAATTAAGGGCTCTGAAGACACTGTATGATTCGGGGACTGTGGTTTAAAACACCAACCCTGAATTCCTAAGAGGGCTTATTAGAGCATACAGATTAGCTGCTCAAGATGCACAGAGAGCCTAGCCTCTGTAAGATAGGAATGAATGGTAGGAGGTAAAATTAGTACAAGTTATGAATAACCCACTTCCTTGAAAAACACAGATGGATGAATGTTTTCTCTCTTTCTCTCTCCCTGATTCTCTCTCTCCCTGTCTCACTTTCTTTCCCCCTCTCTTTCTGTCAGTGTTCAATAATAAAAGGTCAGTGTTGTGAGTAAAAAATATATATATTCATACCATTATGTGTAAGGCATTGCCCTGGGGGCCATGGAAAGAAACTCATGAGGTATGATTCTTGTCCCGGGGAGTTAATAATCCACTTGGGAAGACAAGCCTATGAAAAGTTAAATAATAATTAATGAACTCAATGACAGTACAAGACAACAATGGTAAATATACAACTATGTAGTAAGTAATTGCTAAATGCTTTCTTCAGATAGTTAGCATTATAGAAATTTTATAGGAGAATAAGATCCACATGACATTTGTTAACCAAATTTGTTAACCAAAACAGGAGAAAATGGCCTTCCTGCTTCCTCGTATTGAATATAAAATGCCAAAGTTAAATACGTATTTATATTTCAAGTGAGTAATTTAAGGTGTTTTAATTTAAAACAAACATTAATTAACTATCTTCCTAGGGTAACAATATTTGTTAACCAGCCACTGAACATTGTTTTCTAACTTCAGTTGTAATGTTTTTGGAGGAAATGTGTAGGTTGAACCAAGAGAGTCAGATGGAAATTAGGACATGTGGTATAGTGAATCTTTAAGAAGAGGACAGCTCTCACAGTGAGAATATGAGAATGGAATGAGGTCCTGAACAGAGTCAAATAACTCAAAAGCTAATGTATATGAATATAGCAGAACTCAGAGAACAGCCCCCCAGAGTCAGCACGAATGAGAAGAAGTGGCTGAATTCTAGAAAGTTCTAGAAAGACCAATCTGAAACACCTGCAAGTGAGTCTCCTGAATGAAGCTTCTCTATCATATTCACCAATTCACTGGAGACATCCTATTTCCTAGGTACTTAGGGAAAGGGTTTATTCCCAGATATGTCACCAAATTCAAGTTTAACCATACACCCAGATTTCTGTTCCTTTGAACTACTGAAGCTCTAATTTTGGTGAGTCAATGATCTGCTTGTCTAAATAACATAACATGATGGTAAAGAATGTGGCTCTAAAACCAAACTGCCTGAGTCCAAATCCCAGTTCTGCCACTATGATCTTGAGCAAGTTACTTATACCAATGGAAAGGATAATACTACTTAATTCATAGTGTTGTCATTAGGGCCAAATGAGTTAATATATCTGAAGCTTTTAAAACCATCTGTAGTACATAGTTAGCACCTAGTAAGAATAAGCTGCCATACCCTGTTATTTAAATCCTCTATTACTTAATCTTCCAGCTATGAGAACAGCCCATACATCCTTCTCTGGGACCAATACTAGCCCTATAAAGGGGACTGTAACAAGATAAAGTTTATCTGCATATCTTATTCCAACCCTGGTTCCACCAAGAGGACCTAATTTTAGTACCTTGATCCTAACGTTATCCTTCTACTTAACAGGTCTTAGTTTCAAAGCATCCTGATTTTTCTCTGTTGAGTATGCTGACTCATGTCAGTCATTCTAAGGACTAGACACAGTCTTTACATCCCAGTCCCCTCCTGCTGCTTGGTTCCTCTAATGCTATGCTCTGCCTCCTCCTGGGATGTTGTCTATAACAGGACTGCCCAGGTAATGACTACATGGCTACCTGTATATCTCCCACTGTCCTGTTGAAACTTCCCACCATTACCTTCTAGGACTCCAAGAATCTGACTGGTTTCTACATCTTCACATTTGTGGTTTGACATCTAACCCATCCAAGTGCTGTCAGAGTTTTCCTTGTGGCAGGTAGATTCAAAAGACTGGACCACCAACTGTTCTGCAAATATTATGGTAAATGCCTGAGAGTTTCTTCCAAGCATTCTCAAAGAATTTACTTTCTCTGCATCACCTTTGGTCAGTTGGTTTGAGAAAATGAGAAAAAAAGTTTCTGCTATTTATTGGCAAAACTGTGCAAAAGCATTAAAATAGGGAGAAGACAAAAGTGATATGGAAAATTGCTTCAAAAAATAGGTCTGCTGCTTAGCACACAAACTAAACTAATAGTGCATATACAGGACAAAGTTGCTAAACAGCTCTTCCATAAATCACTCTACAAAGCTCAGGTATCTGGAGCTATAAACTCATTCCACGATTTTCACTAGAAGGAGATCTTCATTGAAAAAAAGAATTGCTGCCTCTTGCTGGACATCCTCCAGCAATCACATAAAAGAGGAAAATATTGAGGGCATTCTTGGCTCTCTTACACACACACACACACACACACACATCCCACATATACAACAGGAAAAATAAAATGCTGGATATTAACTTCCAATCACTGTTTAGAAGGTACCAGGTCTATCACACTTGCAACTCAGAACACACAGCATGAGTTGTCTTGCAGAAAGAAAACCTGTATCTCAAACAACACTCCTGGCCTTGCTACACACTTGCGCTCCCCTCCCATCTAACAGCCTTTAGGAACCTATAGGCAAGGAGCTAGTCATTAAAAGCCTTGACCTACTCACTCCTCCCCCTCCTCTGGTGCATCTTCCAGAACATAACCCTAATTATCCTAGTATTGGGATCAGCAAACCAAAATCTCTTCCACAGATACACTTCTTACTGGCTTTTATTCTGTAGCAACTATCTGTTTATGCACCCCTTAATCAGGTGCAACCAAAACATTTAACAACCCAAAAGCAGTTAACACTTTTGGAGAGGGAAAATACAAAGAAAAAGTTAAAAAAAAAAAAAAAAAAAAAGAGCTGCAGAGTCAAATTTGTATAAAGAACCACAGGTGCTGGTGACTAAGGTGATGAAAATAAAGCAGATGAGGCAAAATTTAATTTGTATCAAAACAGCAGCCAAGGAAAACAATATTTTAATGCAATATTTTGAAAAAGCAAAGTTAATGCAAAAAAAAAAAAAAACACTGTGAAAAAATATCCCAATTTTAAATAGGAAAGAAATTCAAAATAATTAACAACATGACAATAAGTACATACCTATCAATAATTACTTTAAATAGTAATGGACTAAATGCTCCAACCAAAAGACCTAGGGTAGTTGAATGGGTACAAAAACTAGACCCAAGTATATGCTGCCTAAAATAAAATCACTTCAGACCCAAAGACACACAGACAGAAGGTGAGGGGATGAAAAATGTATTTCATGCAAATGAAAATGTAAAGAAGGCCAGGGTAGCAATACTTATATAAGACAAAATAGACTTTAAAACAAAGACTGTAACAAGAGACAGAGAAGGATATTATATAATGATGAAAAGATCAAACCAACTAGAAGATATAGTGATTATAAATATATATGCTCCCAACATAGGAGTACCCAAATACATGAAGCAAATATTTACAAACATTAAGGGAGAAATTAATGGTAACACAATAATAGTAGGGAAATTTAGCACCCCACTTACATCAATGAACAGATCATCCAGACAAAATCTCAGTAAGGAAACACTGGCATTAAACAACACATTAAGCTAGATTAACTTAATATATAGAGAGATAACATTACATCCAAAAGCAGCAGAATACACATTTCTTTCATGTGCACATGGAACATTCTCCAGGACATATAACATGCCAGGCCACAAAACAAGTCTCAATAAATTTAAGAAGACTGATATCATATTAATCATCTTTTCCAACAACAACTCTATGAGACTAGAAATCAACTACAAGAAAAAAAACTTCAAAAAACACAATCACATGGAAGCTAAACAATACACTACTAAACAACCAATGAGTCACTGAAGAAATCAAAGAGGAAACAAAAAAGTACCTGAAGACAAATAAAAACAATGATCCAAAAATTATGGGACAGAGCAAAAGCTGTGTTCTGAGTTGTAAGAGGGAAGTTTATGGCAATACAAGCCTCCCTCAGGAAACAAGAAAAGTCTCAGATAAACAACTGAAATTACATCTGTAGAAACTAGAAAAAGAAGAAAAAAGCAAAATCCAAACATAGTAGAAGGAAAGAAATGATCAGAGTAGAAATAAATGAATTACAGACTTTTAAAAAGAATAGAAACAAAATCAATGAAACTAAGAACTCCTTCAAAAAAATAAAATAAAACTGATAAACTTTTAGTCAGACTTATCAAGAAAAAAAGAGAGCAGACCCAAATCAATAAAATCAGAAATGAAAAAGAAGTTACAACTGACACACAAAAATGCAAAGGATCGTAAGAGATTACTGTGAATGCCAGTTAAATGGACTACCTAGAAGAAATGGATAAATTCCTAGAAATGTACAATTTCCTAAGGCTGAATCAGGAGGATATAGAAAATATGAACATACCAATTACCAGTAATGAAATTGAATCAGTAATCAAAACACTCCCAACAAACTAAAGTCCAGGACCAAATGGCCTCACAGGTAAATTCTATCAAATACTTAAAGACGAGTTAACACCTATCCTTCTCAAACTACTCCAAAAAACTGAAGAGAAAGGAACACTTCCAAACTCATTCTACAAGACCAGCATCACTCTGATACCAAAACCAAAGATACCACACACACACAAAAATTTTACAGGCCAATATCTCTGATAAACATACATCTAAAAATATTCAGCAAAATATTAGCAAAACAAATTCAATAAATTAAAAGGATCCTACACCATGATCAAATGAGATTTACCCCAAGGATTCAAGGATATTTCAATATCCACAAATCAATCAATGTGATACAGATTAACAAATTAAGAATAAAAATCATACGATCATCTCAATAGATGCCGGAAAAGATTCTGACAAAATTCAACATCAATTTATGATAAAAATAATTTCAACAAAGTGCATATAGATGGAACATACCTCAACATAATAAAAGACATATATGACAAGCCCACAGATAACATCATACTCGATACTGTAAAGCTGAAAGCATTTCCTTTAAGATCAGGAATAAGACAAGGATGTCCTATCTCACCACTTTTTATTTTTTTAACATCTTTATTGGAGTATAATTGCTTTACAATGGTGTGTTAGTCTCTGCTTTATAACAAAGTGATTCAGCTATACATATACATATATCCCCATATCTCCTCCCAATATGTCTCCCTCCCACCCTCCACATCCCACCTCTCTAAGTGGTCACAAAGCACCAAGCTGATCTCCCTGTGCTATGCAGCTGCTTTCCACTAGCTATCTATTTTACATTTGGTAGTATATATAAGTCCATGTTGTTCTCTCACTTTGTCCCAGCTTAC